TCTCACTCCAGAATCTCTTGGAGACTGCTTTCTATGATCACTTCTGGTACCAAATGTTTTTTTAGTTTGAGTTCCCTACAAATGAACCAAAATGAGGGTGCTAGTTCAAGTCATTAATTGGGGAAGAGCTCTCAGGAGAAGCAGAGTTAGGAAGCAAGATAGGGTAGGGGGGAAAAGCTAAGTAAGAACTTGGTCTTGGCTGGAGACCAGCATTAGACTGATTCCACAGGGAGACTCTTGAGGACAAACTGTATCCCACTTAAATTCAGGGAACTTATCTTTTATCCCTGTGTCAGTCGATTAGTCAATCACTGGCAAGGAGTGGGTATTGGCGAACAGCCTCCTATGCAAGGGGGACTCCTATTTGGCTGAGGGAAATTCCCTGAAGAAAAGGGTAGTTGGAAGTTGTTATCAACCAACATTTATAACAGCTGGGAAATGGGTGCCCAGGTAGGTGAAGGGACTATGGGCACTATGGGCAGGGCATCAACAGTATGCACTACAGTAACTGTCCTGAATGTTTAGGGATGCGCCTCTGATCTCCAGTCTACCCCCCTTGTCCCAATCCTATTGTCCAAGTTCACATGGTCTTTTTTTTTTTTTTTTTTTTTTTGAGACGGAGTCTCGCTGTGTTGCCCAGGCTGGAGTGCAGTGGCGCGATCTTGGCTCACTGCAAGCTCCATCTCCCGGGTTTACGCCATTCTCCTGCCTCAGCCTCTGAGTAGCTGGGACTACAGGTGCCCGCCACCACGCCCGGCTAGTTTTTTGTATTTTTAGTAGAGACAGGGTTTCACCATGTTAGCCAGGATGGTCTCGATCTCCTGACCTTGTGATCCACCTGCCTCGGCCTCCCAAAGTGCTGGGATTATAGGCTTGAGCCACCGCCCCCGGCCGCTCACATGGTCTTTTGAGGGTGAGCTACACTGACGCTTTTATCTCAAGCTTGGGCTTGGGAGTCTTGGCAAGGTTGGTAGCTTCCGCATTATGGCCATGTTCCCCAACACTGCAGTCATTCTTCATCAAGTTTCTCCCAAACTCTTGCAGAATATGGTTCCTTATACTCATGGTACCAAACAGACCTGCATCTTTGTCCCATCTCAAGGGAAACACAAAGCAAACCTCTCTTCTGAATGCCTCTTTTATGAATAAGAAAATTGAGGCTCAGGGAGGCTAAATGAATTTTGCAACAAGGCTGAAAAAGGTAGAGCCGGGACCTCACTTAGGTGTTGACTTACAGGCCTTCCACTATATCAGGGAGGCAAACTATGGTCCATGAGCCAAGCCCATCTTCCCCCTTCCCCTACCTGTTTTTTAAGCAAAGTTTTATTGGAACACAGCCATGCTCTCTTGTCTATGTATTGCCTATGGCTGCTTTCACACTATAATGAGAGTTGTTAGTTGTTAGTAGTTGTTACAGAGAGAGTATGACCTGCAAAGTCAAAAATATTTACTATCTGTAAATATTTTGGCTACATTATGCTGCTTCTGGGAACCTCCACAGACGACTTCTAATTCTAAGACTCAGTTATTCTAAGACTTTAGTTGGAGGAGGGATTCTCCCTGATACTTAGTGACACAGCACAAGGTAGGTCTTGAAAACCTACTTTCTTCTATACTAACAAGAAATTAGGGCAGCTCTAGTGCTACTTAGCTAAAGGAGATTTCAAAAAGTCCTGGGGAGAGCTGGATGTGGTGTCATGTGACTGTAATATCAGCTACTTGGGAGGCTGAGGCAGGAGGATCACTTGAACCCAGGATTTTGTCTCAGAAAAAATAAAAATAAAAAAGCCTGGAAAGAAAGAGGGATGAATCAGCTTAAAAGATAGTCCTTAAAAATAATAATAAAAATACTGTGGATCTGCCAGTTCAGAAATCTGCAGCGTTTGTGAATGAAGGAATATTGGTATGTACAAAGGAAAGGTCTGGAAGGATACAGACATTCGGTGGGTGGTTACCTTTGATGGAAGGAAAGGTATTTAACTCTTTATTTCTTCTATATTGTTTGTGTATGTGTGTATATATAACTATGTACTTTTTGCAATTAAAAAAACACACAAACACACACAATGAGAAAGAGAGAGAGAGACCTACCCCCTCCAAGTGGTATTTAAGAAAAGAATCTTTCTAGAATGATGGATGCAGCTGTGTTCATAGTGGATGGTTAACTTAATGACCTCACTTGCCCCTGGCATTCATCCCATGATTAATAGGCTGCCTCAAACTCCTCAGGCTCTGTGTTCCTTTATGAGCAGGGAGCTGGAAGAATCATTCAGAATAAAGTAAGTATTACAATTTCTGCAGAGGCAAACAAATTGCATAGTTGTGTTTGGCGATACAATTGCAACTCTTTTCCCATTTCTCAATAAGCTAATATGAAGACTCAGTTGTGGATGTCAGAAACCCAATCAAGAAATATTTCACCTTTTTTTCAGAATTGCTTCAAGATATAAAGGAATGGCTGGCTTTTTTTTAATTAGAAAAAATACAAATAATACATGAGCATTGTAAAAATTCAAACAATACTCGTGTATAAAAGAAAAAGTGAAAGTTCTTCCTTCAAATTACACTCACCAGGGTAATAACTGCATATAATTTGACACTAGAATACCTGTAAATAAGTATTTACAGGTATTTCCATTCATTTTCAAATATTCATCATTAAACAAAATGGCATCAGGCTACAGATAAAAAAGCATTTTTATTTTCACTTAATTTATCTTGGGCCATGGAATATATAGGTATATTTAGATTCATCTCATTCTTTTTGTGGGTGAACAACATTCCACTGTGACTGTACTACTTTTTTTTTTTTTGAGACAGAGTTTTGCCCTTGTTGCCCAGGCTGGAGTGCAGTGGCGTGATCTCAGCTCACTGTAACCTCTGCCTCTTGGGTTCAAGCGATTCTCTTGCCTCAGCCTCCTGAGTACAGGCGCCTCCTTCACGCCCAGCAAATTTTTTGTGTTTAGTAGAGACCGGGTTTCACCATGTTGGTCAGGTTGGTCTCAGGTGATCCACCCACCTCGGCCTCCCAAAGTGGTGGGATTACAGGCATGAGCCACCGCACCCAGCCCAACAATGTCTGCACTTTTAGACATGTAAGTTGGTCCTCTTTTGTGTTGTTTGTGTTGTAGTGCTGCAACACTAAATATCTTTTTTTTTTTTTTTTGAGATGGAGTCTTGCTCTGTTGCCCAGGCTGGAGTGTAATGGTGTGATCTTGGTTCACTGCAACCTCTGCCTCCTGGGTTCAAGCGATTCTCCTGCCTCAGTCTCCACAGTAGCTGGGATTACAGGCGCCCACCACCACGCCCAACTAATTTTTGTATTTTTAGTAGAGACGGGGTTTCACCATGTCAGCCAGGCTGGTCTTGAACTCCTGACCTTGTGATCCGCCTGCCTTGGCCTCCCAAAGTGCTAGGATTACAAGCGTGAGCCACTGTGCCCAGCAACACTGAATATCTCTGTACACAAATATTAGGGCAGTGTGTACAAACATTTCTTCTGGACATATTCAAAAGGTTATGCACATTTAATTTTAACAGATATTAAAATTGTTCTCTATAAAAAGGTTGTACAACTTAGAACCTTTCCCCTAATTTATACTTTCTCATTGTTTCTTATTTCACATTTTCCTAATTACCATCTAGGTTGAGGATCTTTTCATATTTATTGGCCATTCGTGTTGCTTCTTTTGTGAATTGTTTTTCTTAAGTCTTTGGTCTTTTTTTTTGTTTTGTTTTTTGAGACAGAGTCTCTCTCTGTTGCTCAGGCTGGAGTGCAGTGACGCAATCTTGGCTTACTGCAACCTCCGCCTCCTGGGTTCAAGCAATTCTCCTGCCTCAGCCTCCCGAGTAGTACAGGCGCCTGCCACCACGCCCAGCTAATTTTTTGTATTTTTAGTAGAGACGGGGTTTCACCATATTGGCCAGGCTGGTCTCCAACTCCTGACCTCATGATCTGCCCGCCTCGGCCTCCCAAAGTGCTGGGACTACAGGCGTGAACCCCCGCACCCTGCCGGGTCTTTTAAAAATGATATTGTCTCCCCCCGTCCTCCTCCCATTGGTTTGTAGGAATATCTTCTAAGTTATAGATATTAACTTTTTCCTTTTTTCTGTCTATAAGGTCCAAAATAGTAACTATTTCTACAATTGAAACATCCTCAACTTACATTTATTGTGGAGCATGAGAATGACCTTCACCACACAGAGACTTGTAATCTTATGTAGTCAAATCTGTCACGTCTTTTCTTATACTGCTTCTGGGTTCCCTGTCACACTTAGAAACCCATCTCTTCCAAAAATTACAAAAAAAATTTTTACTTTTTCTTCCATGTTTGTATCTTTTTTTTTCTTTTTTTGAGACGGAGTTTTGCTTTTGTTGCCCAGGCTGGAGTGCAATGGCGCGATCTCGGCTCACGGCAACCTCCGCCTCCCGGGTTCAAGCGATTCTCCTGCCTCAGCCTCCAGAGTAGCTGAGATTACAGGCGCCCGCCACCACGCCCCGCTAATTTTGTATTTTTAGTAGAGACGGAGGTTTCTCCATGTTGGTCAGGCTGGTCTCGAACTCCCGAGCTCAGGTGATCCGCCCGCCTTGGCTTCCCAAAGTGCTGGGATTACAGGCGTGAGCCACTGCGCCCAACCGATTCTTACATCTTTAATCCAACCATATACTATTTTTGTGAAGGATGGAAGTAAGGCTCCCCTCAAGTTAATTTTTCTCCAATCTGGCTTGCAGGAAAGGGGTTTCTGGGGAGATTTTACCGAGCAACGTAGGGAAACGGCTGCCTGGCGACCTACCCCTTATTTGACACCCACACGTGCTCGGCACCTTACATACACTGCGTGATTTTATCCTAAAGCGAGTTTTAAAATCTTAGTGTGTAGACAGAGAAACTGGGCGTCACATAAAGGAGACCCGGACGATCCCAGAGACAAGCGCCGAGCTCAAGGAACCCGGCACCGCGCCCGCTTTCCAACCTCTCGCGACAGTTGTACGTCATCTGAGAGCGCCGTGGAAGTCGCGCAGCCGGCGTCGCGCCAATCTTCGCTCGTAGGTGCTGTCTCACCGGTGAGACCTGGAAGCCGGCGAGTCTCGCGCTTTGTCGGACCTGCAGCCTCTGGCCTCCCACCACCATGGAGTACCTAATCGGTATCCAAGGCCCCGACTATGTCCTTGTCGCCTCCGACCGGGTGGCCGCCAGCAATATTGTCCAGATGAAGGACGGTGAGAGGAAGCAGGGGAGGCCCGGCCAGGCCTGGGGTGTCGGGGCGGCCAGAGGGAGTTTGTCGGGGGTTGAATGTGTACCAGGGAGGATCGAAGAGGTGGAAGCCGGCCTGCCCTGCCCATACTTACTTAATTAATTACTTTATTTTTTTCGAGATGGAGTTTCGCTCTTGCTGCCCAGGCTCTAGTGCAATGGCGCTATCTCGGCTCACCACAACCTCAGTCTCCTGGGTTCAAGCGATTCTCGTGCCGCAGCCTCCCGAGTAGCTGGTATTATAGGCATGCGCCACCACACCCGGCTAAGTTTTGTATTATTAGTAGAGATGGGGGGGGTTTCTCTATATTGGTCAGGCTGCTCTCGAACTCCCGACCTCAGGTGATCCGCCGTCTCGGCCTCCCAAAGTGCTGGGATAACAGGCGTGAGCCGCTGTGCTCGGCCTTTTTTTTTTTTTTTTTTTTTTTTTTTTTAAATAACGGAAGCAACAGGCAGACAAGTCTGGGACCTTGGCATTTGCTCCTCCCGGGCTCCTAGGTCAGTGCTCTGCTCTGGCCTTCGCTAAATGCTTCTTGCTTGGTGAGAGTTGACTAAAGGGAATCTGTTTATAAATGTTTAAGCGCCTGCCCAGAACCTGGCTCTCTAGATCCCCGAATCTCTTATAAAAGTTTCCTGTTGTCGCTAGTAATGAGGTTAGTTTGTTGGCGACATAAGGTGGGATCCTGGGGACAGTCAGACTGTGATACCAGAAGCTTGTCATTTTCTTTCCGCTGCCCGTATCTCCCCGTGGCTCCCGATTCTTCTTTTTCAGCTTTCCAGGGCAATGGCTGCCAGGTTTTCCTTATATTTAAGTAGTTAGTTAATGGAGTTAGGAGATTGGAGCCCTGTCATTTATTTGCCTTATGACTTTGATTAAGTTATTTCGCAGTGCCCAGATTTCCTCATCTTTAAGATTAGCAATACCAAACTCACAGACTTGTCGGGAGGATTGAGTAAATGAGTTACGCGCAAATCCTTCGCACTAGACAGGTACTTAATACTAAGCATACACAGGTGCCCAAACATCTGTCAAATGAACATTAAGTCATCTGAACCAAAGCTTAATACTTTTTCAACAGTAGCACGTCTTTGATCAATTAAGGAAAACAAACTTAGATTCTGCAGGAAAAACAACCAAAATCTTCTTAAAATTATGTATTGAGTAATTTACTATAGAGAGACGGTATAGTATAGTAGTTAGGGGCAAAATATCTGGACTCACTGCATAGGTTGAACCCAGGTTCTGCCTCATGTGACCTGAAGCAAGTTTCTCCAACTCCGTGCCCTAAAGCTAGCATCTATAAGGTGGTGATGTAATAGCACCTATCTTAAAAGGTTAATGAATTGATGTAAATCGCTTAACACAGCACCTGATACTTTATGAAATTCTATGATTAGTTTGTAGAAGTTTTGTTTGTAAGCTAGTCCTCCCAAAGGAGTGAATTTGTTTTGAGAGTAAATTTGTCCATTATTTTGAATACTGAGGTCTTTGACAAGCAAGTGATTTTAGCATTAAGTCGTGTCTAGGTAGAACAATAATCATTACCTTTACAGGTCTTTTGTTTCATCCCAAAAATGTATGTGAAATCACATTGAAAAGAAGAACGTGCTTTAAGCCTACTTATGTACACAGTACTTTTAGTCATTATAGGGGATGCAGTATATTACTTATAACCCATAGAAGAGTCCAAGACATTAAGAAAACAAGGAAATAAATACTGCAAGATGATTTTATGTGATAAAAGAAGTATTACTAGTTAGTATTAGGTTGGTTTTTAAATTAATGAGTTCAAGAGCAAATCCTAAGTAATAAAAGAAAGATCACTATGGTGTGGGAGAAAGACGAATTTGAGTTAGTTCTTGAAAAATAGTTGGAAATCATTGCACTCCACACATTCTGATTTTCCCTATGGTCTTTCCTGGTATAAAAACATTTATAATATAAATTTTAGTATTGTATGATGACTTATTTATTTATTTTTGAGATGGAAGCTCGCTCTGTCACCCAGGCTGGAGTGCAATGGCGTGATCTTGGCTCACTGTGATCTCGGCCTCCTGGGTTCAAGCTATTCTCCTGCCTCAGCTTCCTGAGCAGCTGGGACTATAGGCACCCGCCACCACACCCGGATAATTTTTTTGTCTTTTTTAGTAGAGACAGGGTTTCACCGGTTTAGCCAGGCTGGTCTCAAACTCCTGACCTCAGGTGATCCACCTGCCTTGACTTCCCAAAGTGCTGAGATTACAGGCATGAGCCACTGTGCCCGGCCGTATGATGACTTTTTTCTAATCATTCATTTTGTGACGGAGCTTGTTTAGAGTTGGCAAGAATGCTCCAAAATAATAACCTTCTGGGACTCCTTTCTCCAAGTTTAAATGATAATACAACTTCTAATCAATTGTCCAGTATATCACTTTGTATAAACATTTTGATACTATAGAGTAGACATTTGCTGAGGACTGCCACCTTATTAAGCGGTAACAACTTGTGGTTTGCTTATGTGCTGCATTTCATGTCTCTTCTCTTGGCCTATGTAGAATTGCTTTTAAGTTACTCGGAGTACTCCAGCCCACACAGAATTCTCTCTTTTCTGAATTCCTATAGCATGTATGATCTGAGCTACATTATCTAACACTGAGTATCATAATATTGGACATGTATAGAATTCATTAATTTTTCTCACTTGTGAGTTAGACAGGGGTAAGTGATGTTATTAACATTTCACACATCTGGAAACTGGGGCTTAGAGAGGACAGGTAATTTGCTGAAGTTCAGAGTGCCAAGTCCACGTCATAAGCAAGGTCTCTTGGATTCTAGTCCAGTTGGTTTCCCACAGGATGACATGCTAATGTTGTTCATTTTGTTGTCCATTTGTTTCATGTATGTGGATCTTGTAAGTTCCTTGTCAAGAATCAGAAATTCCCCAGAGCTACACAGGCAGTTTCCTGTACAACTCAGGGGTCTCTTAGTATCTATCGCTTGTGTTTTTATTAAATATGTTGCTTTCTGCGACTCATTGGACGTAGTGTTTAAAAAACATTTTTGGCCTCGTATTAAGCTAATTTTAAAATGGAACAGGTTACTGCCTAGATTTTTAGCCTTTCTTCTAAGTGTGACATAAGTTCTTTGTGAACAAGCTCCCCCCTCAAATAAAAATAGCTTTTTTCTTATTATAATAATATTGCCAACTTATTGAATAATGTTTTCTTATAAAAGTGAGGCATGTTAAGTATAGAAGTTTTAGGAAATACCGATAAGCAAAAAGAAGGGAACAAAACCTGCCCATACTCTTACCACTGGCAAGCACTTAGAATATACCCTTCTGCTCCTTTTTTTTTTTGCATAGATAATATAAGCCAACGTTTTTCTCTTATTAACAAGTTTGCAAACTAACAGTCTTTAATGTAACCTGTACAACAAATAAAAGTGTGTTTGTTAAGGAGTTTTGAGGCAATTTGGTACTATCTACAGGTGCATTTTGTGTGTTTTTTCCCTCCAAGTCTAAGAAGCCGTATTACTGGTATCTACAACTCTGAAACACTTGTAAAGTATTTGAAAGTAGCATTTTGTTCTTTAAATCCTATTAAAGGATTTTGACATTTCAGAAGCTTTCAAACAGGAAACATGTCTCCCAGGGAAGATTATTCAGCACTATTTGAAAAATGAAAAGTGAAAGTGAGAGTGAGATAGGAAGATTTAGGCCTTTTCTGAAGCTGCAGACTGAATATGGAATTTTCTACCTTAGGCAATAACTGTAACCTGAATATTTATCTATCTAATCTGAATGAGTCTGGTTCAGCTAGATAAGATTAGAGTATTAGGATTTTTGTGAGGTATTTTAAGTAGCTTACTGTCAAAATATTCACTAGAATTTTTGCTTTGGCAATCGTTTTAATTTTCTCTTTTTCTTTGGAAATGGAATTTGTTTACTTTTTAAAGTGATTAATATTCTCAGTTGATTTTCTATTCTTTCTTGAGATGGTTCCTTAATTTTAATTGTAGCATCAGTCCCTTTCATATATACTTTTGTGTGTGTATAAATATAATAACTAACATTTGTAGTTGTGGAAACATTTTAGGGCTTTGTTATTATGAGCCTAAAGATAATCGCCATTGGCTGGATTCCTTCAGTTTTTTTCTGTTCTGTTCCTTGCATTTCAAATGCTTTTAAATGCTTTAACTTGTATTTTTAATTGGTAGCTTTCATGTATATTCTTCAACTGAAATTGACACTACACAATATGCTGATGGTTTAACATGAAGAATGAAAGAGATAAATTGATACCATTACCTATTAAAATCTTCTAAAAGCAATGATTAGTGAAATTATTCAATATACAGTCGTCCCTTGGTATCTGTAGGGATTGTTTCCAGAACCCCTGCAGATACCCAAATCTATAGAAGCTTAAAGTTCCTTATATACATGGTATAGTATTTGCATATTACCTATGCAGATACTCCTGTGTACTTCAAATCATCTCTAGATTATTTATAATACTTAATATGACATAAATGCTATGTAAATAGTTGTTATACTGTATTGTTTAAGGAATAATGATCAGAAAAAAAGTCAGTACTTGTTCAGGATAGATGCAAGCATCTATTTTTTTTTTTCTGAATACTTTTGAATACTTTTGGTGGTTGAATTGTGGATTCAGAATCCACGGATATGGAAGGCCAACTGTAGTAATTAATGAACCTGTTTATGGTTGCATAAATAATGACTGTCAATTTCTGTTAAGGCAGTTTCTAACACAGTTTTTTTTTGAGCAGATCATGACAAGATGTTTAAGATGAGTGAAAAGATATTACTGCTGTGTGTGGGAGAGGCTGGAGACACTGTACAGTTTGCAGAATATATTCAGAAAAACGTGCAACTTTATAAGATGCGAAATGGTGGGTAAGACTTACGAGTTTTGGTTGGCATATTACTAGTTTACTAGGGCTGCCATTACAAAAGTCACAGACTGGGTGGCTTAAACAACAGAAATGTGTTTCTCACAGTTGTGGACGTTAGAAGTCAAAGATTAAGGTGTTGGCAGGGTTGATTTCTGAGGCCTGTCTCCTTGGCTTGCAGGTGGCCATCTTCTCCCTGTGTCTTCACATGATTTTTCCCTCTGTACTGTGTCCAGATTTCCTCTTCTAAGAATACCAGTCATATTGGATTAGGAACTCATTTTAATTTAATAACCTCTTAAGGATCCCTTCTCCAAATACAGTTATATTCTAAAGTACTAGGGATTAAGACTTCAACATATGAATTTCTGGAGGACAAAATTCAGCCTATCACAATTGGTTTGTCTTTAAATTTGAACTGAAAAATAATATTCTTTAAGACTTATGTGGTCATATTTTCATTTGAGTTTTCTGTGTTTAAGAAGTTGTCCAGACCCTAAAGATTCTAATCCTTCACAAAAGATTTTCTACAAAAATCCTAGAGCAGAGAACTATTGTAACACTGATAGTTGGTAGATATAACACCATCGGGCTGGCTTGATGACTCACACCTGCAATCCCAGCAACTAGGGAGGCCAAGGTGGGAAGATCACTTGATACCAGGAGTTTAAGACTAGCCTGAGCAGTGTAGTGACACCTCATCTCTACTTTGAGTTTTGCTCTCATTGTCCAGGCTGGAGTGCAATGGCGCGATCTCGGCTCACCGCAACCTCTGCCTTCCAGGTTCAAGCGATCCTCCTGCCTCAGTCTCCCAAGTAGCTGGGATTACAGGCATGCGCCACCACACCTGGCTAATTTTGTATTTTTAGTAGAGACAGGGTTTCTCCATGTTGATCAGGCTGGTCTCAAACTCCCAACCTCAGGTGATCCACCCACCTGGGCCTCCCCAAGTTCTGGGATTACAGGTGTGAGCCACCACGCCCAGCCTGCCACAAAAAATTTTTTAAAAATTAGCTGAGTGTGGTGGCATGCACCTGTAGTCCTAGCTACTCAGGAGGCTGAGCCAGGAAGATCATTTGAGCCCACGAGGTCGAGGCTGTAGTGAGCTATGATTTTGCCACTGTACTCTGGGAGGCAGGAAGACTGTCTCTCAAAACATTTTTTTAAACCAACCAAAAAAAAAAAAAAAAAAAAAAAAACCTAACACCCTCTTGGAGGTAGGAATGGTAGTATCAGACTTTTTAAGTGTTAGATATTTCAGAGGATATGGTTTGAGTTTAAAAGTATCTGAATCCGGCCAGACACAGTGGCTAACAGCTGTAATCCCAGCACTTTGAGAGGCTGATACGGGAGGATCACTTGAGGTCAGGAGTTTGAGACCAGCCTAGGCAACAAAGCAAGACTCTGGCTCTATAAAAAATAAAAAAACTAGCTGGGTGCAGTGGTGCACACCCATAGTCTCAGCTACTCAGGAAGCCGAAGTGGGAGGATCGCTTGAGCCCAGGAGTTCAACGTCTCAGTGAGCCATGATAGTGCCACTGCACTCCAGCCTGTGCGACAGAGTGAGACCCTGTCTCAGAACAAGCGAACAAAACAATCTGAATCTCAGCATTAAAAAACCTAAGTAAACCTTGACTTTACTATTTTTTATGTGATAAGTCATTTATTTTCTCTGGGCCTTTATTTTCCTTATCTCTAAAATGAATTATAATACTAATGAATAATACATATGTAAATGTTCTGTAAACTTAAAGTATTGTGTAACTAACTGTAAGTATTTACTGTGTCTTCAAAGGGTTCTACCTTACTCTCTGGTAGGTTTCCTTCTAGAGAGATAATTAGGACTTTTGTGAAGTATTTTGTGAGCTCTCTCTGGGGCTAATGAACTGTTATCCACTGGGAAAGCCTCCCTAGCAAACAATCCTAGCCACTAGGCCTCTGATCCAGGAACGTTTGTAGTGGTGGTCTGGCAGAGAAAACCTTGTTCAACTTACTTCACAGTTCAATAACAATGGTATACACTGCACTGGTATAATATGGAGCTTTGAAGGAACTTAATTTGAATATACTTGCATGTGTAAAATGACCAAAAATCTATTCACATGGTTTTTTGGGCAGTGGATTTATCATTTGTGTTCAATTCCATAAATATTTTTGAGAGCCTCTTCTATGGTAAACATCCTGCTTAATACTTCAGAGAATTCAAAGATGAATAAGGCTTAGTCCCGACATTCAGGAACATAAAGCACATGGTACTTAACGTTTACTCAGGTTTAGAATATTTCAAGAATTCTGCCTTTTTTTCCAGTGGTTCCACTTTTTGCCTGCATAACAAATGAGTCATGTCAGTAATGCTTCTGAAGTCCATTAGGTACTGTATTACTTCACTGGCTGTCCTGAGAGAGGAAGAGGAGTGAACAAGAGGAGCAAGAGTTGTTTGTTACTTGGGTTTTAGGGTCTAAAGTCAGTGCACAGAACAAAAACTGTATTTGGTTAAAATTGCCAAGTACAGTTTTGTGTATGTAACTATATAGAGATTCTTATATAAGTTAAAGAACTGAGCTAAAATAAGGGAAAGAAAGATAAAATCTATATGCAGATAATCAGGCTTGACTTTTCTGCCTTTAGGATAATGGTCAGATCGTTAGAGATGTTTAAGGGGTTAGGTATAGAATTGAATAGTATTCCCACTTGTCCAGGTTCCTCCTTGGTTTTTTTTTTTTTTTTTTTTTCTTTTTTGAGTCAGAGTCTCGTTCTGTTGCTCAGATTGGAGTGCAGTGGCGCAGTCTCAGCCCACTGCAATTTCCAACTCCTGGGCTCAAGTGATTCTCGTGCCTCAGCCTCCTGAGTAGCTGGGATTACAGGCATGCACCACCACGCCTGGCTAATCTTTTGTATTTTAAGTAGAGACGGAGTTTTGCTATGGTGGCCAGGCCGGTCTTAAACTCCTGTCCTCAAGTGATCCACCCACCTGGGCCTCCCAAAGTGCTCTGGGATTACAGGTGTGAGCCACTGTGCCTGGCCTCTTTTTTAAATTTTTTTATTATTATTATTTTTGTTGTTGTTGTTGTTGTTGTTGAGACAGGGTCTTACTCCTGTCGCCTAGGCTGGAGTGCAGTGGCACAATCATGGCTCATTGCAGCCTTGACTTCCCAGGCTCAGGTGATCCTTCTACCTCAGCCTCCCAACTACCTGGGAAAACAGGTGTGTACCACCACCCCTGGCTAATTTTTATATTTTTAGTAGAGACGAGGTTTCACCATGTTGCCCAGAATGGTCTTAAACTCCTGGGCTCAGGTGATTTGCCTGCCTCAGCTTCCCCAAGTGCTGTGATTACAGGCATAAGCCACTGCGTCTGGCCAAGGGTTGCTTTCATTATGATTTAATATGCACTAATAGACCTGTGAGGATAAAGTACAATAATACATGTGAAAACACTCAGCATTGACCCTGAAACATAGTTGCTGCTCAATAAATATTTGTTAGGATTTTAATCTGAATCTCTCCTAATTTGACAGTGGTATTTAAAATGTCGTAAGCAATTACTTAACCACACTGCTGTGTGTCTTTCCGTACTGACATTTTCTGTGTGGGCCCACTGAGTTACGGATCATTCTTGTGCCTTTTGGCACTGGTCCCATTCTACAGGGGGATTAAGCTCCAAAGTGAATGCATTATTACATGCACATCTGATGCTATTCCTCTGGATTGTACCTTTGTTGGTATGACAACTTTTATTTTTGAAGTCTTAACACTTGAGATACTCTGTTTTTAAAAATATTGCAGAATGATGGAAATGTTCTTTTCCTGTGGCTTGTACTTTTGAAAGTCATACTTCTTAATAAAGTTACATTAAAATTCTTTTTTAATAAACTATGACTCAGAGGTAGTCCTAACTTCTAGCCTCTCTTTTCCCAATATCCTTTTTGTTCCTATTTTCATTTTTTTAGGGACAGGGTCTTGCTCTGTCACCCATGCTGGAGTGCAGTGGCACAATTATAACTCACTGCAGCATTGAACTCCTGGGCTCAATTGATCCTCCCCACTCAGACTCCTGAGTAGCTGAGACTACAGGCAGATACCACCATGCCTAAAAATTAAAACAATTTTTTTTTAAGATGGGATCTCACTGTGTTGCCCAGGCTAGTCTCAAACTCCTGGGCTCAAGCGATCCTCCTGCCTTGGCTTTCCAAAGCTCTAGGATTACAGGCATGAACCACTGTGCCTGGCCCCCAGTATCCTTTTTAAAATAAACTTTTAAAAAATTGGCATCTAAGACATCTTTCTTTTTTTTCACTTCCTGTGTATTTGTGTCCCTTCTACAGTGGAAAACACAGTGTGTTGATGAATGAATAGTTTAAGAAAGACTGCTACGAGTTTCATTCCACTATAGAACTGGTTCTGTTTGTGGCCAAGAATTGCTGTCAGTACTAACCAGCTATTTCATAGCTGTTGCATGAGGAAAGGGACTAGAGTAGGATTGTACCCCTCAGTCTATATGCTTTGTTTACTCTGAGTGTACAAAAGATGGTGGGCTTTAGGAAAAAGGGTAGTGAATAATTTGGGGCACTGTTATTCCTTCTGCTTTATTTTAAGTATGACTCTTTATCTCTTCTACCAGGATATGAATTGTCTCCCACAGCAGCAGCTAACTTCACACGTCGCAACCTGGCTGACTGTCTTCGGAGTCGGGTAAGTAATATATCAGACATTGTTAGATAAGAGCAGAAAAATCCTTTGTGCTTCTTTTACATTCTCGTTATATATGAATAGTATTTTTGCTCTTTTTTGGCCTTCCAGAACCCTTCCTGTTGCTACTTGTTCATTCTTCAGTTCAACGTCTTTGTATACAGTTGTTATTAATAGTTACAGCCCAAAGGGCAAATATTCATTCCCAGAGAATTGGTTGGGACACACCAATATGAAGGCCAGTGATAACCTAACCTTTTTTTTTTCCCCCTAAAACTGTTTTTTAGAGCAGTGTTAGGTTCACAGCAAAATTGAGAAGAAGTATAAAGATTTCCCACATTCCTCCTCACCCACATGTATAGCATTCCCCATTATCAGCATCTTCCACCAGGGTGGTACACTGTCACAAAGGATGAGCCTACATTGACGGTAATCACCCAGGTCCATAGTTTACATTAGGGTTTACTCTTGCTGTTGTGCATATTATGGGTTTGGACAAATGTGTAATGACATGTATCTACCATTACAGGATACGGAGTATTTTCACTGCCCTAAAAATCCTTTGTACTCTACTTATTCATCCTTCCCCATCCCTGCAACTCCTGACAACCACTCATCTTTTTACTTTCTCCATGGTTTTGCCTTTCCCATCATGTGATATAGTTGGAATCATGGATTATGCAGCCTTTTCAGATTGCTTCTTTTATTTGGTAATACACATTTAAGGTTCCCCTGTGTCTTTTCATGGCTTGATAGCTCATTTCTTTTTAACACTGAAAAATACTCCATTGTCTAGAGGTACTACAGGTTATTTATCCATTCACCTGCTGAAGGACATCTTGGTTGCTTCCAAGTTTTGGCAATATGAATAAAGCTACTGTACACATCCATGTGCAGGTTTTTGTTTGAACATAAGTTTTTTGCATAAATACCAAGGAGTGTGATTGCTGGATCATATAATAAGAGTACGTTTAGTTTTTTCAAAGTATTTTTGTAGCAAACCATATTACTTAATAACTGTGACTGAAAGTCTCTATGTGTTAGTGAAAGCAGAACTTTGAAAATAATAATTCAGATGTTTTTTATTTTTATTTTTTTTGAGATGGAGTTTCACTCTTGTTGCCCAGGCTGGAGTGCAATGGCGCGATCTTGGCTCACCGCAACCTCTGCCTCCTGGGTTCAAGTGATTCTCCTGCCTCCATGTCCCGAGTAGCTGGGATTACAGGCATGCGCCACCGCGCCCAGCTAATTTTGTATTTTTAGTAGAGATGGGGTTTCTCCATGTTGGTCAGGCTGGTCTCGAACTCCTAATCTCAGGTGATCTGCCCACCTTGGCCTCCCAAAGTGCTGGGATTATAGGTGTGAGCCACCGTGCCTGGCCAATAATGTGGATTTTTATCTTGAGATTATTTATCTGTGTTTCTCTTTTTTTCTTTTATTTATTTATTTCTTTCTTTTTTTTTTTTTTTTTGGAGACAGGGTCTCACTCCAGTTGCCCAGGCTGGAGTGTGGTGGTGTGATCTCAGCTTACTGCAGCCTCAACTTCCCAGGCTCAGGTGATTCTCCCACCTCAGCCTCCCAAGTAGCTGGGACTACAGGTGTGCACCACCACACCTGGCTAATGTTTTGTGTTTTTAATGGAGGCAGGATTTCACCATGTTGCCTAGGCTGGTCTTGAACTCCTGTACTCAAGCAGTCTGCTGGCCTTGGCCTTTTATAGTGCGGGGATTATAGGAATGAGCTGCTGTATCTGGCATACTTACCTGTGTTTTTCTATGACTTTTTCCCATACAGCATTGTTCAGCATACAGCATACAGCATTGTTCCTCCTTGCTTATTCTAGCCTTGTTGCCATTCTAGAGCTGTCTCAATTTCATCAACAGCATGTTAAAAGATGCAACACTAAGTTAAGGATTGAATGCATTAAAGATTGTGTCGGATGTGCTAGGAAAGTTCATATGGTTGCTAAAGGTGTGCGTTATTCCCTTCCCACAGGGACTAAATAAATAGAGCCTTAATATGTGACCTCACCCCCTGTGCCTGTTTACTCATCTATAAAATGGAGATAACTTCCTAACCCCACAGGACTGCCAGGAAAATGAATGCTTGTAAATAATAATATTTAACATTCATATGACTTTTGCCCAAAGCATTTTGCTTAATAATTTAATCTACTCACTATTCCACTGAGAAAGATAGTAGTTAGTTCTCTATCACTGAGATGAAGTGAAAGGCATAAAGTGGCAAAGGGATTAGCTCCAGGTCACACAGCAGGTCAGACAAAGCTAAAATAATGGCGCCATAATTATTTGACTATTCTGCCTTTAGTTCTTCAGTAGTATTTCTAGAACACTGGTGCTATTCATGTTTTTACTATGGTTTGAGTTTTCATCTGTACTTGCTTAAAATGACAAGTTACTTTTTTAAAAGTTACTTACTACAGGTCTATAAAGCAGTTTATTTTCTAGTGCTTAATAATCTTGGACTGATAATTTCTCAATAAATAGTACCTCTCTGTGCTAGCTTTGACCCAGAGCTTGTATGATCTGAGGGATCATGAAGTTTGAAGAGAAACTAGAGACATGTAGGATTGAGAGGAGGCAAATTTACATACATTGTTTTGACCTGGATGAAAGATCAGTAGTCTTTTCTTAGAAAAATAATAATAATAATAATATTTATTTATTTATTTTTCTCTTCCAAGAAAATCATTGTCACCAAGTGGTCTTTTCTTCACTCCTCCTTAAGAAAAGAAAATGGGTCAGATATTAGCTTTTCTGTCACCCAGAAGTTCCTGTGGTGTTCAGCATTCTATGATTTGCCGTGTACAGTGTTCCTCTGACTTATCAGGCAGAACCGGGATAAGAATTCCAGCTTTGGGCACAATAAATACTGTGTCATAAATATTGCAGACATTAAGTAAATTAAGCTCCTTTTTGGAATTGAGATAAGAATAGCGGTGTGCTTCATGCAAATGCAGTGAATCTGGTTTAATCTTCTCCTAGCAGAAATGTTTGATGTCTTAACAAATATCCCTTGTAGACAGTGACATGGGGCTCTGGTAAATATTGACTACTTCTGCCTGAGCTTCTCCATTAGGTCCAATCTCTGCTCCCCCATCTCCTTATCAAAGTAGATTCTTAGTTCTAAAATATGGATTTATATTTTAGTCATTTTATTCTGGGAAGAGAGATGATAATTTGTCAGTGTTCCTAATAAGTGCAAAGTCACCAAATTTGGTATATTTACGTGGTCATACCAGTTGGCAGATGTGACTCATTTTGGGTCAGCCAGTTACCATGTATAACTTTTGTGTCTGTAGCTCAAATTGTTTGATTTCTAATTTGCTCTGTGTATGTGTGGTTGTTTGGTTGGGTGGACTTTTACTACCACCGAGTATATAATGAATCTTGCATAAACTGGTTCATTAAAATGTAGGCAATTTAGCATTATGGTTAAGAGCATAGTCTCTGGAATTGGACTACCTGGGTTTGAATATTTGCTTACTGATTTACTAGCTGGATGCCTTTGGACAAATTCTAAGCTTAATTTCCCTGCTTACCAACTTCAAAAAGTTATTATGAAGATTAAATGAGATAATAATGCAAAGCTCTTACTTAGCACATATATAACTGATTAATCACTTTTGTTTTGAGACAGGATCTCACTCTGTCGTCTAGGCTGGAGTGCAGTGGTATGATCACAGCTCACTGCAGCCCCTTGACCTTGCAGGCCCAGATGATCCTCCCACCTCAGCCTCCCTGGCAGCTGGGACTATAGGTGCATGCCCCTATGCCTGGCTAATTTTTTGTAGAGATGGGGTTTCTTCATGTTGCCAGGCTGGTCCCGAACTCCTGGGCTCAAGCAGTCCTCCCACTTCGGCTTCCCAAAGTGCTGGGATTGCAGATATGAGCCACCATGCCCAGCCACTTTTGTTTTTATGCTGTGATTGCTGTTTGGTGAATAAGTTAGTTTTTCATGAGGTATAATTTGTTGTGCTTTTTTTTTTTTTTTTTTTTCCTGGAGATGGGTTCTCGCTCTGTCACCTAAGAGGTGGCACAATCACAGCTCACTGTAGCCTCAACCTTCCAGGCTCAAACACTATTCCCACTTCAGCCTCCCAAGTAGCTGGAACTACAGGCACAAAGCCACCATGCTGGTATCGATAGGGAAAATAGAAGTAAAATAACATTGTACATATATTGTGTGCTAAGATTTTTCTAGATCTACACAGTCCAGTATGGTAACCAACTAGCCATATGGGGCTATTTAAATTTAAGTTAATTAAAAGTAAATAAAATTTAAAATTCAGTTTCTGGAGGAAAATCTCCTGGTGGACTTTACCTGAATGCTAAATCAACTTTTATTTCTTAAAAAAAAAATTCCGTTCCTCAGTCACAGCCAAATTTCAGGTACCCAGTAGCCACAGCTACTGTATTGAACATCGCAGATATGGAACATATCCATCATCACAGAAGTTCTCTTGGACAGTGCTATTCTAAATACTTAGATATGTATCTGTTGTTAAGTATCCTTATTATGACACCATAAGATGTGTGTTATCCCCATTTTACTTACGAGGATGTTAAGTATTTCTCTTATATATGTTTCCATAACATATATATAGTATGTTAAAGGGTAAGTTAAGATTCCATCTTCAAATATCAAACTATTTCATGCTATCTTCTTTATTAATTAGTGGACTAATGTACCAATATGTTTGTGCATTTAGGGGAACATGAAATGTTCAGTTTTGTTAAAATGTCAAAATTGTGCATAGTATTATATAGATAACTTATGAATATATGTCCATTGTACGTTTTCAATAAGTGTTTGCTGAATAAGTGTCATGCAGCTAGGTCTACATATTCTGCTGAGAATGTTAATTATGCATTTATACACTGGAAGGAAATTCTTAATAAATGGAATACCGGAAGAAGTATTCTTAATAAATGGATGTTAATTCGTATAGGAATTAAAGGCATGAAATCATCAGAAGACGA